TTGTATAAATTAGTAAAATTAGTCCAGCCGAAGGAGGCAAGTCAGATTTAAACAATTAAATCAAACAAACAAAAATTAAGGATAAATAGGGAAATGAAACAACCACTCTAACCTGAGGAGCGGGCTTCAAAACGAAGTGTTCCAGATCACCTGTGGGGTCAAGAAGAGGAAGTGAAGGCCCACAACCACCTGGACTGTCCAAGATCTCTTCATCGCAAGTCCAATCCTAGTAATTTAGCGTGTATACAAAGATGTACGTTCGAATTAGGAATAGAATAATCTTACTGATTAGCAAGAACATAACTGATTAAAAAATATAACGAAAGCCTAGATGCTAACTCAAATTTTGATATAAATTACTTTAAGAGTTAACATAAAAGAACAACAAAAGAATTCAAAGTTAATTAACGTCAAAAATGATGATCAAAATGGACCTTTACAGTTCGATGAGTCAGGTCTTTTTGTCCCAGTTTATCCCCGACTGCTTCGCAATTCCCTCCGTATAGTTTTGGATCTTCAGAAACATTAAATGGGCATTCTGTTGATACATTTTCCTCAACTGGAACAATTGTTTCATAGGGTTCTAGAGAACTAAGGCTTACAACAGACGAATCCTTCCCTTTGATGGCCTTGTTAAAAAATTTGACATCCTCTGCTATAGACAGGATTGAAAGATGGTTTTTGTTGTTATCGTGATCAAGAGCTCGAGGTTTTCTACTTTGAACAGTGGCATCACATAAACCATATGAGAGATCGGAGCTACGTAACTGAGATGCGTTGGTATCTGATGGTAAGAATTTCGTGGCTTGGGGAACATCACCCAGTCTCTGGATATCTCGATAAACTGTGCTTGAACCTAGAACAAGAGGCGAATTGAATTCATCTTCTGAAACCTTAGTCTTATTTTTTGAAGCGTCAGTTGATAGGGAAACCGAACTATATTCTTGATGCAAAACAGAAGTTTCTACGTGAAAAGGAATATCTATCTTCGGAGATCCGGCTGATAAAGGGTTCAGTTCTTGAGATAATGAGTCAGATGAAATATATGGTCTTTGTGCAAGCTGCTGAGACACAAAGATGCGTCTGTTGAAGGTGTGAGATGTATTTCTGCGTGCTAGATTTTTTTCGGAATGGATATTAATTTTATTATCCTTGAGCTGTACAGGATTAAGAGCAATTGAAGATAACGCCCTAACTGTAGCTATAGAATCCTTATAATTTATCATAAGGCTAGATGAATTATAGGATTGAGAAGAGGCAATTAGACTTTTAGTGCAGAAGGGCGACCTGTGTCTTCGACGTTTGTACAAAGATATATTTGATCGTAATGGCTGAGTAACCTTATTGGTTTCCTGATTGAAGGTTTGAATAGGGTGAGAATGATGATAAGATGTACCGCAGTCAGAAGAAGATTCGTTCCTAATTTGACATTTATTGAGTATATGTTCACCTGAGCCGGATAATGCGAAAGGTTTGCATGGCTTTCTCTTATTTAAGATATTCAAAGAGATGAAAAACAAACAGACTTGATAATAAGTAAAATATGAGCGACAAAAATATAATTCAATATATATTCAAAAGATTAAGATGAAAAATAAACTCTATAGAAGATTCCAATAAACTCTGCACTAATAGTAGTATAGAGAAATATTTTCGCCATCATTGAAATGAGCTAACAAGTTAGGCGATACAAAATAAAGCAGATTTTGATGTTTTGCATTCTATACCCTATCATCCTAAGCATCCAGATACTAATGAAAGGATTTCTCATTTTAAAAAATTAAAGCTTTGCAATAAAGTACTAGACAGAAAAAGTTAGTGTGAATGAGGCTGTATTGAATAGGAATGTCAGTACATATCGAAGTTTGATTTAA